GGGGGGGGGAAATTGTAAGAATCTATGGGTGGGTACCACACAGAGCAAATTACAATTCCCCCCCCTTGTCGGCGTTTTACGAGTGCGTTTTGTAATAGCTTTGAACCTCTCTGCTTCGACAGTTTCCACATGCTTTTGGAACATGAACTTGGGCATCTTGAGCTCAAGATTGAACTTAATCCGGAGATTCTCGCTTTGCTTTCGTGCAGCACAAATGGCTCAACCGAGATCAACCGAAAGTTAGAACAACCGGAAGGGAAATTGTAAGTTACAATTTTGAGGGTGAAGGTCCATGCTTCTACCTCACCCTCAAAAATGTAACTTACAATTTTTGAGTGCGTGCAGGCCGAACGAACACACACGAGGGTCAAAAATGTAACTTACAATTTTGACCCCTGTCTTGTGAGATGGAGGTATGTCAGACCTGTATGTTCAAATTTCACCGTTTTCCAAAACCTGCATTTTGACACACCCGAAATTGTAAATTACATTTTTGACCCCCCCCCGGGGGTAAGGTAGTAGTGATAGTATAGTAGTTTTTGTGTTTTCTTGGGTCTTGGTTGCCACCTCCTTTTGCTCTTTTTGGAGGGGCGAAAATAGAAAGATGGAAAGATGAGGCAGAAGAAAACAATCAAATCCAGGGCACGACAGAGAACAGAATAAACAAAGGGAAACATCAAACAGCAAAAACATATATAATGAAAAACACACAAATGAGCAAAGAACAACTTCAACGTAATTAAGCAGCAGCAACAACAGCTGGCCAACAAGACCCTGAGAAAAGAACGACATGAACAAACGAAAGTGAAGCAAAGCAAGTAAACAGAGCCGAGGAAAGGTCGTTGCTCTCTAGCCACGCGCGTCGTGCTTCAAGCAGTTTTCACTCCGTGCACCAACCGACGATCACGTACTCAACGTGCCGCGTCCACTAGAAGACCAAAAACCGTGTGAAGTACAAAAAGTTTGTTTTCGGGTCACCCAAGGGCAACATTCCAAATAGTTCTGGACTCCCAGGGTATGTATTGTCCATTATTGTCTAGATATAACCTGCTAGTAGTTTGATCTTCTCTAAAGTTCAGTTCGAGGCGTCATTTTGGAGGTCAGGATGGAGGCCCATCAAAGACTGGTAGCCGGGTGCTGGAACGGGTGCACCGATCGGTTTCTTCGGTCATGACTCCATTTTTGAGGGCGGTGTGTGTCAGTCAGCGTCAGTTTGGGCAGGTCTTCAACTCCAACACCTTCGTGGATGTCGCTTGGTGGAAACATGTGGATGGTGGACCAATTATATAACTAAGATAATTAGTTAAAGTATATTGTAAGTCCACACACATCAAGATGTCAAGAGGAAATTTAACATGATGTGAACAACCATCCGAACGACAGATCTTGGATGGTCGTTCACATTAATGAACGTCCCATGGCATGAAGATGTGAACAAGATTGAACAACCATCCAGGGCAGGAAAAATTATTCATCAACCATCGATATTAGGTCGAGCTTTCTACGGATCGTTGGTGTCCAAGTGGTGCCCACTGTGGGCAGATCGGTTTAAAAAAGGATCATGCAGCAGCTCTGCATGAAACAAGCCAAAGCAGCACGTAGGTCCAAACTCCCGGTGGTTTGGATGGCCACTTCCCTGTATATAAACGGCTGGATGATTCGGATGTTCTCCTGCGGAACCATGTACACCAAATACACCAAAGGCATGCTCACATATTGTTGTTGATGGTCCTCCCCGTCCCAAAGACTGTGTACCACGGTCCTATCAACTAGCGTCAACACCTTCAGCAATTGGTGGCAATGATGATGACCCAGTCCAACGCGTCACCCGAGAGCAGGGAAAAAAAGATGAAACCCGTGAAGCTGAGGGTTTTTCACAGTTGAGAAAACATAATTTGTTTTTTTGAATGGTTTTGTCCCGATCTCGATTGTACGTATGCCAAATGTTCCCTCAAAATCTATTGGTTCTGACGTTTTATGGACTTTTCTACCCGTTCTTTTGACCAAACGTGTGTTCTATGCTCAGTTTTTCTCTTGACATTTGCAGCATATGTGTATAAATCAATAAATAGAATGTGAACTTACATCTATAATATGTATGTGTCATGTCATGTCCATAAATTTCATATATGTTGATGCCCAGGACAGCCTGGGAAAGACCTCCATCGTGTTTAGCACCTTAAAGCCCGACGGCCGCTGGCTGCATCGCCGCGATCCCCTGCTTGGGAAGTCAATGGTGGCACCTGCGGAAGGCCGAACCTGAGTTGGATGTCACATTGAATTGTATCAACGTAGGGTAATAATCACTTTGAATTAAAGAAAAGAAATGTCGTCATCCTGATGTTCATCCTCATCCTCCTCATTCTCATCCTCATCATCGCCCTCATCATAATAATAAAAATAATAATCATCATCACGTTATGTGTATCTATATACTGTATATACATATGTTTTTGTATTTAGACAATATATAACTGTGGGTCATAGAACCAGGATACCAACCAGTTGACTTACCAGGACCTACCTTGGAGGTCGTTCGCTACGTGTGAGAAGATGTTTTTTGAGGACTATGAACTGGCCATGAACTGCCAAGGCTGCCAAAATGTATTTTGTTCTTGAGTTGACCATGTTAGTAGTTGGTGAGCGTGTCAACGGTGCCAAATGCATTAGAGTTCCAAAGTTGTCCATGTTTGTCCAGGAGAGTCTCAAGAATTCCACACCACCATCAGCACCACCAGCAAATTCCAATGAATTCCACCCCACATCAGTGCGCTCTGTTCTTTTTGTTGGATTGCCAGGTGAACTGGAGTATGAGGTGATGCTGGATGCGAAGGCGCAGCACTTGTTGACGTGTTTCATCGAGTCGCTCCGGAGCGAAAGGCCCCCCTTTTTGTCGGAAGAGATTGGCAGAAACTGGGCATGAATTCCCTAGGGTTAGACACATAGAATGGACCGATTCTTTTGGCAACAAAATGTCATCCACACGAGACTAGGAGTACAAGATGAAACAATGGACATGGCCCGCTATGTCCAGGTTGGTTTGATTTTGTTCTTATATGCCTAGGTTGGAGGCCATCGCTCTTAGGTTGGAAGGCCATCGCTCTTAGGTTAGAGGCCATTGCTCTTAGGTTGGAGGCCATCGCTCTTACCCTACAATACCATTTAGTTGGTTTGCTCCCAGGCGAACCCGTCGTACGCTTCGGCCCCCCCCCCACCGCCAGACCGGCGCGCGGACGGTGGACCGCCGCGTGCGTGCGAGTGGTCCTGGGCAGCCACCCCCACCGCCAGAGGCCGGTCCTGGCACTGTGCAGTGTGAAATCAGACGTATACCCATCACCTTTAGGTTCATCAGGATGGTTTGGAGGGTGAACTGATGACGCATGATATATATATATATATATATTAATAACAATGCATACTATTAATAGAATAACTATATATATATAATATGTGTACATGATGTGTTGTGTTTGTTTTCAACTTTTTCCCAGCCACATCATCCCCTCGACCAAGTTTGGCTCAAAACTGAGGACCTTGAGCCTGGACTTTACAAGGTGGGTTTGCGTTTCCCCCTTGAGCCTGGACTTTACAAGGTGGGTTTGCGTTTCCCGCGACCGGGCCGTGGCACGGTCCGGTTGTCTCCGCAGACTTGTGGGATGTGAAGAGGCCCAGACTGGCGCTTTGTGGATCTCAAAATCGGAGCCCCGGAGTCAAAATCAGAGCCCCGGAGTTTGCTTTCGAAGGCGACGAAGTCATGCTGTGTGACACCGGAGCTTGACTTGGAGCGTCCCGGTATACAGGCAACAGGCAATGTGTGGGATGCTACCCAGCACGAACCAACACACCATGTCACTCATTTAGGCTACATCCAAGCTTGGGCAAATTTTTTCTCCAGATCTTGTAGTAGTAGAGCTTTAAAAAAAACTCGAGAATCGGCTGCTAACATGGCCACTCTCAGTCAGGTTTGAAAGACTTTGATGGGGATCCTCGAATTCTCCACGAGTTCATGGCCGAGTTCGGGCATCGGACACAGAGACTAGATGGCCAGAACAGCTACCTGATCTCATTCTGAATCCCATGCATGCCCTGTGCACAACCATTTGTGCATGTGGTCGAGTCATGTGACACTCGGAAGGTGACCATGAGCACGGCAGTCTACCGAAGCTCTACCAAGTGCAACGATCGGGAGGCCCAGTGAAACTGCCGCGAAAGCGCCTTTCCGGATGGTTCCAAACATGGTGGTATGCCGTGCATCAGAAATCTTGGCGCAAGCTGTTTTCAAAGATGACATTCCATGATATTCCAAATCTTGGCGCAAGCTGTTTTCAAGCCCACATCTTTCGGATCATCAAGGTCGTTTTTCTCCCGACACCAACTCTTCAGTGCTTGGCACTTCGTAGGTGGTGGCGCACGTGACTGCAGGGCAGCAGGTGAAGGTGGAGGAGGCTAAGTCATCGGACGGGGCGAGGAAGGAGGATGGGAAGCTCGATACCGTTCGTTTGAGAGTTGCTACGAGGCTCCTTGAGAACATTGAAGATGAGGTCTTACGATAGCTTCCGGAGCAGGTTCCGAGGAACTTCGTTCGACAGAATCAATTCGATGGTTTATGAAGGGGCTGAATTGTAGGAAGCTGAGTTGAGCACGAGGTTTACGCCGGTATACGCCGGTTGGCGAGGCCTTTTGAGACATGGGGCAGGTGAGTTGCTAATTTGAGCTCAAGTAGACCGTGTGTATAAATTGGAAGACTTGAAAAACAACAAGCATAGCGGTTTAGAAGCGTGGAGGACGATCAAAGCAGTTACTTTTTTGGTCACCAGGCTTTCCATTTTCCACCACAACCTTAACAACATCCAACAAATGCTGAGCCCAACAGCAACCCAAAGGGAGCTTGTTTACACCACCTCCGCTCCCACGAAATGGGGTGACCCTCCTTCGCACCGATCTCAGAGCAGGTGCTCAACTGCTTGTCCGAAGAGCGGGTCCGTGGGCACATCACAGAGCCAAGAGGCTGTGGAATGGTGGCGTTGGAGGGATATCATTTGTTGTGGATGACATTTGCTGGGGTGTTTTGGCTGAGCATGTGTTTAACATGTCTTTTATGTGTCCGTTAGTTAGATTGGGCTGCTGTACATTGGCTGTTGTGTTGAGTAACTTGTGAAAGTTGAACATGTACTTCGGTAAGAGCAATAGTACACAGTTACGTGATGCCGACTGTGCTAGTTGTTTGGGTACGCATTTTCTGCATAGTGTAAGTCAATTTTGCTTCATCCAATGATGTTGTTTCTATCAATGTTTTGTTTTTTCTTGCAAGGTTGTTTCTAACCTTCTGCGGGACGTGCAGGAGTACGGGTTGGAGAACGATGTTTTTTGCAAGCCCCGCTTGTGACAGAGCCGCAAGATTGCCAAGTAAGATGTCTTCTTGTATGTTTTGCTCAAGAGTCTGGATGAAAAACATGGCAACACGTCCCCACACAGTTTTGTTTTTAGAAAAGGTCTTTTTGTAGTGAAAGCATGTCATTTGAAACCAAGGACGACGACACCCTATTTCCACGAGTTTCCACTTTTTGTCCAAATCAATGTTTGCATGATCGTCGATAGCATGTGTGCATGCGGTATCATCTTCCCAACACATCCAACCGAACGTAACTACCCCCATCTTCCAAAGCCTTTGTGCATATGGCATCATCTTCCAAGCATATCATCCAACACACTACCACCGACAATGCAAGGGAATTCCGAGTACGCAGAAGAAAGAGGTCGCCCTGATTCAACGTCACACAATGTTATTTTTGAAGTGAACATGTAAAGGTGCTGAACATGTAAAGGTGCCGACTTTCATGCCAAGTACAAGGACATCAGGCAAACTCTTCGTGGTTTGATAAAAAGAGCCCGAGTATTGGGGGTTGTCAACCCGCTAGTGTTGAAATGCATATCATTTTACCCCCAGTGGCCCTGCGGAGAGCAGAAAACACCGCAACTACCACACGAAATCGGGAGCAATTGCTCCAAAACGACAAAAGGGTACGGCGTACGGCGCTGACGGGGCGTGACACCAAAACATCTTAGTCTTAGCCAACAACACCCGCGCTACCATCGGCAGATCGCCCCAACATCACCATCACTGCCAGCAACAAATCATCGTCACTGTCAGCCGACATGGCATGTCACGGCACATGATGTTCGGTGCATTTGGTGCACCTGATCCTCCATTCGGAATGCCAAACCAATGGCCGCACCCGGAACGCGGTTCCCATGGTCTTCCCGCCCCCGGTCGCCAGGGTGGATCCCTCTCCTGGATACTCGCGATGGCTTCCGTTGGGCAGCACCCGTGGCCACCTGGCGGTGGAAAGAGATTGCGGAACGGACGGTGGAAAGCGAAAGAGGCGGAACGGACGAGTTGAGGAAGTCGTGTCAAACGACTTCCTCTTGAGAATCTTTGAGCCGTTTTTTTTGTTTTGCCAAGTGAGAATCTTGATGCGGGTCTATTGAGTCGCTGGCCGTGAGTCAAAACCAGGAGACCGAAAAAGGGCACGACCTACCGATCGGGTAGATGGTGGGACCGGTGCTTGAAGAACCCATCCCCATATGATGTACGGTGGCCATCAGGTCGAAAATGCTACACTCCAGGAAAGATTGGAGGTAGCGATGTAGTAACCAGGTAGCGCCAAACATCCATACGACTGGGCAGGCCCCGCTGTGGTCAGAGTCCAAATATCGTATGTATGGTTTGCTCCTAGTAGCGATGCCCTTTGCTCCTAGTAGCTTCTTGCTCCTAGTACGTAGTACGGCCAGGAGCCCCTATGGTTGCTCTTTCTTTTAACAGTTTGTCCCCCAAGAAGAAGCGCTCGCACTAATGATTTCAATTTATGTCCAAGTGATTTCTCACACGATCAGTTGATCCGATGCTGAATCGAGTGCCCTGTGTCCCGCAGGTACTGCCCAAACACAGGGTGGGTGCAGGTGCTCACTAGCCCGGTGCAAAAGAACTCCCTCGTTTGGAGTGCAAAACCCTCTTCATATTGGGGTTTTGTTCATCAAGAGTTTCATCAAGATTCTACCTTATTATCCTTATACAACTTTTATAAATACTTATAAAATCTTATAAAACATAATAGTAGTGAAAGTGGTTGCTGGGGGCCTTTTGGGCCCTCGTTCGTATTGTCCCTTTTCGACGACCCAAGCATCACAGGGCAGATCACCGCCGCAGCATTCTCTCACCGCTACCACGAGGTTCAGCAAAAGTACCTGGTGGACAACACATGGTGCTCACCTTAGCTGACCCTCTCAAGCCCCTCACAATAAGACTGAATGTCGCCCGGTTCGTGGAACCAGAAAAGGAATATACTGCAGACATTTGCAGACCATACGATTCATAATGGGGTGGAGTAGACAACTTTCAATAGCTGACTGACAGGATCCGCTCAGGTGTCACTAGCAGGTGAGAGGTTGGTACCAAATGGATCCAAATGATATCTGATTCGGTGTGCTGGTTTGTCAGGTTTTTCCAGCAAGCAGCAACTGGACTGACTGCGACTGGGTATGAAGGCCATTGGACGAATCCTTGATAGGTTGACTTTCTTTGAATGCTGCTTGCAACATCGTGATGTTCGAGTAGTTTTGTGTGTCGCCTGTGGTGATTCCTTCCTTCGCACCGCCTCTCGAAGAGAAAAAAGGGCATGTGATTCGACACTGTTTGTGCGGTATCATTTCAGATCTATGCCAGTCCCAGGTTGAAGTCTCCCTGTGGTGGGTTGGCCTACCGCTTCAGCAAGGAGGTCCAGAATAAGGAGCATTTGGGAAGCTCCTGTGAACTGTGAAGATCTGGCAAGACAGGGACAGTCTAACATAATGGGTTTGCACTTTCTCTTACAATTTTGAGTGATGGTGCTTGGCATCTCAATGATTCTCCTCGGAGAATGGTCACTGAGTGGGTAGACCTTCCTGCTTGCAGAGAGCATGGGAGGAATGCTGCACATTCACCACGGTTGCACTATGATTCACAATCCAAGGGGTGGTTAATTTAGACAGAGTTTGTTCCATCCATATACCCTAGAAGTCGAACCACCATCTATTTAATCGCCTTTGACGAAAATCCGAACAACCATTGTTTTACTAAGGATTTTACACTACAAAACCAGATCAACCATTTTGTTGAAGGGTCTTGGGCTTCCAGGGTATATGTACTTTGAACTTACAGTAGGTGAGCAATTCTTTTCCTGAGGTATTGGTCTAATCCAACTGTTCAGGCATGATTTCACAGCTGTCCCAGCACTTTGCATCAAGCGCTGTCCCAGGATGAACGCCCAGGTGAGCAGGGTGGTGCACCTTGGAACTCCATGGTCATCGGTGAAGACCAGGGTGATGGCTGGCTCAAGGCCCGATCGAGCGTAGAGCGTAGATTTCAATCAGGCAGTTTGCGCTCGTTCGTCGGTCGAGTCGGTTTCGAACGCCGGGTGCAGCCCGATTTCGCGTGGTCGCTTCGAAGCCGGTTTCCCTAAATCCTTCGACCGCGGCGGCGAGATAGGCGGAGATAGGGCTAGCCTTTTCTTTAAGAGCCGATGGAGAGTGGTCATGATTGGTTAAGGGAAACATCCCAATCAACCCGACTTCACCTATCACATGGTCCCACGACTTGCACAACAGCTCATGACATGCTCTCCATGACTTGCCTTGATACATGGGAGCCAGCACGGGAGCCAAAACCCTATCCAGTCTGGACCTGCTGACGCCCATGTTCTCACAAGTGCCACGCTAGTAGTAACAGGTGCCTTACTAGTAGTAACAAGAAGCTATTAGAAACAAGTGCCACGCTAGTCCCCTTTCTTAAACGCCAAAAAAATCTCGCGCTGCCTTCGATCGAGGTGGCGGATGGCCGGCTCCTGCCAATGAGCATGAATGGCATCTTGGCGAAGTGCCTTCAGGGTTGGTGAAGGTTTTTCTTGAGGTGATCCATTTGGACATGGAAAAAGGATGAAAGACTCAAGACTTGCCCACAGTCTTTACAGATGATCGCAGGAGATAACAAAAAGGCGAGTTGATGTCTTCCAGGCATTATACTGTATAATTCACAAGATGGAAAGCAGGGGTTGGGCCATGATGGGTTTCATCCAGCCATGGTTTTGGGGTTGTCTCGATCTGTCTCAATCTGTCTTTTTTTGTCTTTTTTTGGCTATTTTTGTGTTTTGTTGTTTCTTTGTTGCCTTTCATTGTTAATCTTCCCCGTTGCTGAGCTATCCCCTCTTTTGACTTGATATACCTGTCCCATCGATCAATGTGTTCAGTTAACACTGTTTAATTAAATTCAGGTTAAGGCTGATTCAGGTTGCTATAGCTGTGTGTCGGTGTTTCTTGCAAAAGCTCCACTGACTGACTTTGGGTTTGGCCTGCAGTGTTGAAGGTGCAGCTTGTTTGTCCTGAGCTGTTGCTGCCCTTTGCTTGTCAAATGTCAAATGTGACATGTCAAATTTGACATTTCATTCATTTGAGATGACTTCAGGTCCTAGCCCCAGCCTAGACTCCTTTGACCCAGCTTCAAAGTAACTAAAACTAACAACTACGTACAGTACCACAGACTGTGTGTTTGTCACTAGTTTTTAATTGCTTGCAGGCCTTGGCTCAAATACTGTGATAGGTCTCAGCCCAAGGGTCTCAGGTTTTATTGAAGGGTTTAACATGTGACACCCAACAGGACACACAGGACATGTTCTGTTAGACTCAGTGTGACTTCATTTCATTTGACTGTTGTTTTCTCAACTTGCCATTGGCTGAGTATGGGTGTGCCTGGCTGGTTTGGGATTGACTACAGTTTTTGAAACTAAACAAGCAAACTCTCAACCTTGCATACTTACATGTGACACTGTGAGAACCATTGTCTGTTTTTGACATGTTCCAGTGTTGCTGTGCTGAGTACATTGCAAATTGTTTGGATGCATATGCCTTGGCTCAAAGATTCATTCCATTCAGTCAGTTGTCATATTGTATGTCCTAGATTTGGAGTTTGGCTGGTGGGCACTGAAGTCTGAGTCCTTGAGATGGCTCTTCGGTTGGTGTGCCCTTTGACTACTGTTTGGTGGGGCCCGCCAATTGTCGGAACGACGTTTGATCTACCAGAGAATCCCGACATGGAACCGAATCTCAGATACAATGGAAGTTTTTTTGCAAACTGAACCACTGGCAGGTCAACCTAACCAAGAGTCATTTGAATCTGTTAACATCATCAGGATTGCAGAGTTTTCCTCCACTGCGGCTCTGGCAGAATTTCTACGGACGACAACTCCCTTGATTACCAGCATGCCAGTGACATTTCAGAGTTACAGCGTTGATTTGATTGTCATCAACCAGGAATCAGGCCCTGATGACAAGCAAGACAAGGTCATCATTGCGAGAGTCCGGGATGAGACCAGCATGCAAACACGCATGGCCATTTTTGGCAGGGTCAAGGACTAGTTGGGTTCAGATGATGCTGAGTCTGAGTGGTGTAAAATTAAGGTGCGTGAGGTGAATGAGTGATGTCACAATGATATGATATGATGATGTGTTGAACTGCATTATGAGTTGTTTGTGAGTGACCCATGACAGTCTTGACTCGCATAACTTTTCTGGGACACTGACTGAGGGACCGAGGGCTCTGTTGTGGCTATTTATGTAAGAGTATGTTTATGATTAATCCATCTATTCAGTAATCAGCTGAACCGGAAAACTCAGGGCAACGGCCAATTGTTAATGTATTCAAAGCATAGTGAATGTAATTACTGTAACTAAAATAAGGATCCTGACCACACTAAACTTTTAAACATGGATTGGTTGACTTGCTTCTTGGCTCAAAGGTTCGTTTCATTCTGTCAGGTGTCATATCTCTAATTTGTGTTATCTAGATTCCAATGGCCTTTATGGAAGCCTTGCAGTTGTTGAGTGTGGAAATGGGTGAGCAACATGTCCTCATCTTGGAGGTGTGGAGCCTAGAGTATGAACATGTTCTTTCATGTCAAAGGTGCCATGAACGATGAGTTAAGTCATGCTTGACAGTCTGTTGCAAGTTGTTGAATTGAACAGTGAGTGCTCCCACTCAGCACCTACTTGCCTCGTAGGAGACCACTGCTCCGTTTCCTACCTTTGTTTCGTGAGAGGCTTGGGTGACTGAAGTGATTGCACTTACTACTCACATGACTCAAATGTCATCCTTTGTCATACTACAGGTAGAACCTGATGAGATCACTAGATGGTTTAATGGCCAAGGATGGATGGGGGCAGAAAGGTGCTAATACAGGATGTCGGAGCACATCCATCACTCAAGTTTCTTGTGCTGGATGCAGTTGTTGTGCTATCTTGCCGCCAGAGTGTGAACTAAAATGTAATTTCCCATTTGCCATCCGGTTCAATTGATTGAAGAAGTCTGGTTTCCAATTTCAAGAACGCTGACTAAGGCGAGCTTTTGAAAACCTGAAAGCCTTTTCGAGAGACAGGGTGGAAACTCTTGTGATGGAGAAGCCACACCTGAAGTCACCAGACTCCATGTCAGAGATGGTGCGCACCCTCAATGATGAGGAGGATGAGGCTGGATCAGCAAATGATGGCACATGTTTAAGCTCTTGACTTCTAAAACAGGTAGTCACTTATGTAATTTGTTTGCGCAAGAGTCTCAACCAGTTTGCAAAAACCTTAAGTAGAAAAGATGTCTCAAACATGTCTAAAGCATTGCTCATGAGTGAGTTGGTGAATTTGGTGGGATGATGATTTGTTGCCTGAGGGAGTTTAAGTTTGATCAAACATGTTGTCCCTCTAGCTTGGATGCAGGCGAACTTGTGGCACTGCGTTGCACAGGTGGCAGGGGAGTACTGGGTTGTGACCCCCAGTATGATGGCAAGTGATCCTGATATGTGGATCATTCAGCCACCTGGCGCTGGCCCAAGAAACCACTGTCAAATTTCAAATGTGTGTAAAAATGCAAAAGGAGAGGAATCTCAAATTGACAAGTGCCCCCATGATCATTCAGAATTCATCCTGTCTGACTGAGGGAAACTGGCTCTCAGATGCGGCGGCCTCTTTTGTCAACCACTTTTGCAAATTGCTGATGAGTATCGAGCTCATCGTTTTGGGGTTGGTCAGCAGGAACTGGCTGGCCAGTGATTGAATATAGACTTAGATGACAATCACAAACAGAGGGGACATTGCAAGTTTTGGCCACCGGAGAAAATTGACCTCTGTCAACCAGTGTAAGTAAAGCATTGTACAATTGTTGGTCAGTCAGTGCATTATGCTGAGTCTCTGATTCCTTCACAGCTGTGTCAATGACAGGTTGATGGATTGGTCTGCTCCTCAGTTGGAAGTTTGAATAAGAGAGGTCTTCAGTCAGTCAGATATAGGCGTGTCCGATGTGTCCATATGTTGACTGAAAGACGTGTATATTTCTGACTTTACATGTCACATTGAAAGAAGTCACATCAGCAGGGTTTGATCGATCTGTCTAGTCTAGTCTAATCTGTGGCATATCATATCAAATAAATCTCATTTGACATGTCAAATCTGACATTAGAAATTTCACCCCCCATTGGCTGTCCTGTCCAGGTCCTGCTTGACTTCAGTGAGACCCTCATTTGCGAGGCTGAGTTTGGGACTGGCAGTGGGTGAAATGGTTCATTGTTGGAGTGAATCCGTGTGTCAAGAATGAATGGTTTCTGACTAGCGGTGCAGAGTCTAGAGTTCTAATTAGTTTGACTGATGTCAACTAAAGTAAGTAAAACTGATTGATTGGGAGACTTTGACCTTTGAATGTGTGTTCTGTAGAGAAGGCTCGAACTACATGACATGTCATGGGGTACAGTCACAATCCACACACTCAAGCGCATATACTGACACTGTAATTAGTAATTCCACACAGGTTTGACAGCCCTTTGTCTGTGGTGGAAGCCATTTGATGTCGGAGTGGAGCGAGTCAGTGGCCTGCGCTGAATTGCCTGACTTTGCAAAAAAGCTCCCAAGGACACTCGGCTGCTTCAGTTGAATTGCTTGCTTTGGCAAAACGCTGCTCAGACTAAGTTTCAGGTCATTTGTAACATCTCAACCACGGTTTGCCCAGGAAAGCCCAGCAGGATTCTTGGCATAATTTTCTTTAAGTTGCAGAGTGTGAAATGTCACAGTAGATGGTAAACTGAAACCGTTCAATGTCAATAGCAATCAATGCAGCTTGTGATGTGGGGTTATGTGCATCTAAGTTGATCTGGCTTCTCCATTCAGCTGATCCACAGCAAGCATCAAACCTTCTGCCACTGGGACACATCAAAGGCTCCTCTTTGAGTGTTTCACTGAAATTAAAACTTGTGATGAAATGTTCAATTTGTGGTTAGTTCTGAGAAATACACATGTGGTCACACATTGTGCTGCACTGTTGTCAACTATGTTTCCTCACTCAGGAGCCACTACCAGCGGAAGGAGCGCAACGGAAACGCAATTGATGACTACGTTGCATACACCGTCAAAGCGACAGAGCGTGGGCTTGACTGGCAACTTGGCTGACTCCTGCTAGTCAGTTGCAAGTTCAATCATCAATCAGACTGTGTGGCTCCTGACTAAGTGTTAAAGGTCATACAGTACAAATCAAGACTATTGTTTGTTGTCCTATTCAACTTGTTCTCACGTTGTGTAAATTCAAAGGCTAGAAAGCTTCTAATCTAAGGTCTTCTCAAGCGCACTTTTTGTAAGTGGCTTTGCCCAACTGGCAACGTGAATGAGAATGACTCAGGTGCCAAAAGGCAGAAAATGCTGCAGGATCAGCCAGGGGAAGCAGCTCTGGCCACAGCGCCAGCAAGTGAGGCAGCAAAAGATGAGGCCGATGTGAAGCCACTGGAAGTTGAAGATGGCGACTCTGAGGATGGCTTGGTGTCTTGGTATCATATTGTTAT